CAATCATTTCTCTTTCTCTCTGTCTGCATTCTTGCAGTCATTGAGAAATACTGAGTGAGCTGTGATTGGTCACAGCTTGTCACATGGTACAAGGCTGTTGTGAATAGCCTTGTACCATGTGACCTCTGTGATCATTCACAGATTTCACACATAGTAAGCAATGATGTCACAAGTGACATCTTGCTTACTACTTTGCATGTGATCACTGATTCGCCAATCAGTGATCACATGACCGGGACCTCGTACAGAGGTCCCGTCCGACAATTGGTGTTTCACTGTGTCCGGAGGACACAGCGGACACCGGATCGCGGTGGTGCGCGCTCCTAGGGAGCGCGCACAGCTAGAAAAGGCGGGTGCCGTTTAGGAACGGCAACCCGACCTTGGACTGCCACCGCCCTGCCGTTTATAAACAGCAGGCGGACGACAAGAGGTTATAATAACCCATCCTGTAAAAAATAGAAATGAAAGATTAAACACTTGTGCATTTATTTAAAAAAACATAAATACCTTTTTTCTTTCTTTTTTTTAACACACATAGGTCCTAGTCACACCGATCCGACTTTGAAATTGTGCGACTTCCAGTGAAGTCGCATTATTTCAAAGTCGGATGTCGTTCTGGCTTGGGGTGCGACCGACAAGACATCTGCCCTGATATCTGTGCAAGTCGCACCTGAAGTAGTGCATGCACTACTTTAGAGATCACACTGCGGCTCCGACCAAGTCAGAATCGCACCGATATGACGTTTTTCATTGCGGACAATAGGGTGCGACTCGCCATATAATTTGCAACTCGCACGGCATGGCAAATTACATGGAAAGTGGCACCTGGTGTGCCCGGGGTGTAAGTGTTACTGACATTATCCTTGCAGACTGCAGATGAATAAATCTATCACTGCTGGCCATTGTATATAAAGCAGCCGGGCTGACATTGGTTTATTTTGTCATAGGACAGATGAATCAACTGACAAGAGCTATAAAAATATATTTTTATTATTTCCTGAAATGAGAAAAAAAAAACTGACGACCTTATAAGAAAAATCACATAGCAGTGTTTATCCCACACATTGTCTGTTTCTGCACTAAAAGTTGCATATACCGTATATTCCTGCGTATAAGACGACCCCCTACTTTTCCTGTTAAAATATAGTGTTTGGGCTATACTAGCCGTATAAGACTACCCCTCTTCCAATGCACACCTGTGGGAAGAATTGTGCCCCATCATTGGTGTCAGTGGGAGGAATAGTGCCCCATCATTGGTGTCAGTGGGAGGAATAGTGCCCCATCATTGGTGTCAGTGGGAGGAATCGTGCCCCATCATTGGTATCAGTGGGAGGAATCGTGCCCCATCATTGGTATCAGTGGGATGAATAGTGCCCCATCATTGGTGTCAGTGGGAGGAATCGTGCCCCATCATTGGTATCAGTGGGATGAATAGTGCCCCATCATTGGTGTCAGTGGGAGGAATAGTGCCCCATCATTGGTGTCAGTGGGAGGAATAGTGCCCCATCATTGGTGTCAGTGGGAGGAATAGTGCCCCATCATTGGTGTCAGTGGGAGGAATCGTGCCCCATCATTGGTATCAGTGGGAGGAATCGTGCCCCATCATTGGTATCAGTGGGATGAATAGTGCCCCATCATTGGTGTCAGTGGGAGGAATCGTGCCCCATCATTGGTATCAGTGGGATGAATAGTGCCCCATCATTGGTGTCAGTGGGAGGAATAGTGCCCCATCATTGGTGTCAGTGGGAGGAATAGTGCCCCATCATTGGTGTCAGTGGGAGGAATAGTGCCCCATCATTGGTGTCAGTGGGGGGAATAGTGCCCCATCATTGGTGTCAGTGGGAGGAATAGTGCCCCATCATTGGTATCAGTGGAAGGAATAGTGCCCCATCGTTGGTATCAGTGGGAGGAATAGTGCCCTATCATTGGTATCAGTGGGAGGAATAGTGCCCCATCGTTTGTATTAGTGGGAGTGCCCCATCATTGGTATTAGTGGGAGGAATAGTAACCCATCATTGGTGTCAGTGGGAGGAATAGTGCCCCATCATTGGTATCAGTGGGAGGAAAAGTAACCCATCATTGGTATCAGTGGGAGGAATAGTGCCCTATCATTGGTATCAGTGGGAGGAATAGTGCCCCATCGTTTGTATTAGTGGGAGGAATAGTGCCCCATCATTGGTGTCAGAGCGACGAATCGTGCCTCATCATTGGTGTCAGTGGGAGGAATAGCGCCCCATCATTGGTATCAGTGGGAGGAATAGCGCCCCATCATTGGTATCAGTGGGAGGAATAGTAACCCATCATTGGTATCAGTGGGAGGAATAGTAACCCATCATTGGTATCAGTGGGAGGAATAGTGCCCCATCATTGGTATCAGTGGGGGGAATAGTGCCCCATCTTTGGTGTCAGTGGGAGGAATAGTGCCCCGTCATTGGTGTCAGTGGGAGGAATAGTGTCCCAACATTGGTGTCAGTGGGAGGAATAGTGTCCCAACATTGGTGTCAGTGGGAGGAATAGTGTCCCAACATTGGTATCAGTGGGAGGAATAGTGTCCCAACATTGGTGTCAGTGGGAGGAATAGTATCCCATCATTGGTGTCAGTGGGGGAAGGAATAGTGTTTCCATCATTGGTGTCAGTGGGGGGTGGAATAGTGCCCCATCGTTGGTGTCAGTGGGGGGTGGAATAGTGCCCCATCGTTGTTGTCAGTGTGGGTGGGGGGGAGGAATAGTGCTCCATCGTTTGTGTCAGTGGGGGGTGGAATAGTGCCCCATCGTTTGTGTCAGTGGGGGAGGAATAGTGCTCCATCGTTTGTGTCAGTGGGGGGTGGAATAGTGCCCCATCGTTGTCAGCGGGGGGGGGATAGTGCCCCATCGTTGGTGTCAGTGGGGGGGAGGAAAAGTGCCCCATCGTTGGTGTCAGTGGGAGGAATAATGCCCCATCATTGTTATCAGTGACACCAATGATGGGACACTATTCCTCCCACTGACACCAATGACAGTTGCTGGCCCCTGTTCCAGTATGGTGCTGCTGTAGCCAGCATATGTGGTTGCAGCAGCACCTCTGCACGGCCCACTTACCGGCCGCTCCTTCACTCGATTTTCGCGGGGCCGCTTGGTTCCGCCTCCTCGCCGGTGATTGGCCGCCTGTGTGCCTTTCCTGAGCTACAGTTCTGGCGGCCAATCACCAGTGAGGAGGCGGAGCCGAGCCAAAAGGGCCGATTCCCACCATGTCTATTGAGCGTCATTTTGCTGCACACCTCCACACATGTATAGCATGAACAGGGCACACAGGTAACAGTTGTTTCTATGTTCACATCACGCCGTGTGTGTTGTTGTGCAGTAAACAGACATGCTGTGAACAAGCTCTAGGTACCTGTTCACACATAGTACGGTGACTGCTATTATTATTATTATACAGGATTTATATAGCGGTTTGTTCAGCGCTTTACAATATAACGGGGAGACAATACAGCAACAATACAGTCAATACAAGAGGGATAGGAGGGCCCTGATCCTGGGAGCTTACAATCTAAGAGGGAGGGGCTGGTGGTACAAAAGGTAATAACTGTGGGGGATAAACTGGTAGTAGGAATAGAAGCAGGGGCGGACTGACCATTTGGAAAGTCGGGCACTGCCTGAGGGCCCGGGGTCAGTAGGGGGCCCCATGAGATGCCCCTGGTACCTTTTTCATAGGCTTTTTTGAGTTTGGGCAAGGACACAGGGGCCCCATGATCCCCTATTGCCCGGGGGCCCCATGAGTTGTCAGTCCGCCCCTGAATAGAAGATTCCATATTAGCTGAGGGCAGGATAGGCTTCCCTGAAGAGATAGGTTTTCAGAGATCGCCTAATTGTTCTGTACGGGAAGAACGCCAGTCAGTCATGTGGTTGTTTTCTATGTGCCCTGTTCACACTGCAGTGCAGCCTGGAGCCACAGTAAAATGCAGACATGCTGCATTTTTTCGTAGCGCACACAGGAAGGCACTGCATGTCACTGTGCAGCAGCTGATCACACTGTGCTGCTTTTTTGGGGACATGCTATGACACGTCACTTTGTGTACTTCACATTAAGTTCACACAAAACAAAAAGAAGACAAATGAGCTGTGTGATGCGGTAAAATGTGCATCACTCTGCCTTGTACCGCTGGCTGGCTGCAGCCGGAATGGACGGCTGCCCCACACACCAAACCCATTCAGTTTACCCTCGGTTCACATCTGTGTGGGTGGTGCCGATGCGGGACCTGCACAAATACCTGCAGCTGCACCACCCACACACAGGAATGCGGGACCCCACTGGCGGGTGTCATTAATTCTAATGGTACGCCACCCGCACTGGATATGGCAACCGTACTGGGCACCTCGGTTCCTGCGCCGGGCTGCGATTTCCAAAGTAGATATAGAAATATAGATTTCTTCCCTGCATGTCCCGGGGCACAGGAGTCCATTCAAATGTATAGGCTCTCGTGCCCATGCAAATCGCGGCCCGCACGACCACACAGATGTGACCTGGGGGTTAGTGTGTGGGCAGTGTGAACAGCCCCTAATTTAACCACTTCCAGTCCGGACACTTTTACCCCCGTCCTGTCCAGGCCAATTTTCAGCTTTCAGCGCTATCACACTATCACACTTTGAATGACAATTGCGCGGTCATGCAACACTGTACTCATAATTTTTTTAGCATTTTTTTGAGACAGATAAAAACTTTTTTTGGTGGTATTTATTCACCACTGGGATTTTTTTTTTTTTTTGCTATATAAATGAAAAAGTTCAAAAATTTTGAAAAAAAAAGTGTTTTTCTTATAAACTTGCAAATAAATAATCTTTCTTCATAAATCTTGGCCAAAATGTATTGTTATCTTTTATAAAAAAAAACCCTCAAATTAGTTTACAACCAAAAATTATAATTTTTCAAAAACATTTTTTACATTTTTATTTTTTTTTTATGATATTATTTATGTTTTTTTTTTTACACTGATTGCTTTTACACCCATAAAGGCTGTAAAATCAATCATTTCTCCCTCTCTGGCTGCATTCTTGCAGCCATTGAGAAATACTGTGTGAGCTGTGATTGGTCACAGCTTGTCACATGGTACAAGGTTGTGATCATTCACAGATTTCACACATAGTAAGCAATGATGTCAGAAGTCTTGATTGGCCAATCAGTGATCACATGATCGGGACCTCACACAGAGGTCCGTACAACGATCGGTGTTTCCACCGTGTCCGGAGGACACAGCAGGCACTGGATCGCGGTGCTGCGCACTCCCAGGTAGTGCACACAAGCAGGGAGCGTGGAGGCCGTTTATAAATGGCCACCCAGCCCTGCACTGCTCCCGTCCGGCCGTTTATATACATGGGCCGGAAGGGAAGTAGTTTAAAAAAAATAATAATAATCCAGCCTCCTCCTCCTCCTCTTATAGCCAGCCAATCACGCTCCTTTCTTGCATCATGTTAAAGTGACACTTAACTCTGGTTTCAAAAGAAAAAAAAAATTCCTTCTATTACTCTCAGCCGCCTCCAAATCTCCCAATTGCTTTTTTTTCCCCTTGTGATCTGATTTCCTGTTAGAGGGTGGCTACATCCATTCTCCCCCATGGTCCCACTGTATGTAGGAATGTAGCCACTCTCTCATGCTCACCCCCAAGACGGACATGGGATGTGTAGTGTTGCATAGAGCAGTACACTGATCATTTCAAGCAAACATAAGTGGGGGAAAATGGGAGATGTGGGAGCTCACGGAGGATGTTACAGGAAGGCAGAAAACACAGTAATAGATCTTTTTAATTAAAAATAAATTACAGAGACATGAAGTAGTGGATGTGTACAGATTATTAAATGAAAATTAATATTTAGTGTCATAAAAAAAAATTCCGGCCTCCTCCCCTTATAGCCGGCCAATCACACTCCTTTTTATGTGAGATGTTAAATTGACACACTAAAACAAAATATTACTCAGATATTTGTTCTTAATCCAAAAAAAAAGTACTTTTTTACTGCTCTCAGACTCTTCCAAATCTCCATTTTGTTTTTTTGTGATACTTACTTCCTGACATGGGCTATGGGCTTTGCAGTGTTCATGACTGCAACTATAGTGCACTACCCGTCCCAAACAATTAAAAGTGAGAGGGGGACAGGAGAGGTGTGGGAGCTCATGGATGATGTTACAAGGAACAGAAAAAAAAAAAAAAAAATGATTTAATGAAAAATAGATTACAGGGCCATTAACCCCCCTGGAGGTATTCCTGAGTGTAGCTCGGGGTAAAGTTTCAGCACCACAAGCAGTGACTCTGAGCTACACTCAGGAATACACATGCGGCGCTGCTCCGGGATCTCTTCTGCACTTACCTTGTCCTGCGCTCCCGCGATGTCCCTCCTGCAGTGTCCCCCGGCCATCTCCTCCAGCCAAATGCCGGCATCCGTCTTCCGGGTTCCGTTCCCTGCGACGTCGGGACATACGGGGGACGGAAACGGCGGGAAATTTAAAAATGTCAAAAGTGACATTCACTAAATACACTAAAATCACATAGTATAACATTCCTGTATCAAACCATTTCACATACATTTTGTCCCGAGTGCTTTGTCCGGCGCCCTGCCTGCATTTTTACTGTTCTTTCTGCCTGGAAACTGAGAAACGTCCATGGCGTCCAAAAAGCGTCCCTTTAGGTCAAAAGCGGTTTTAGACCGGCTAGAGAACAGCGATAGTAAATCAGAACCACTTGCAGAATTGAGTGATAATGATTGGTGGGGGAAATTCCTCATCAGACACTGAAAACGATTTTGACTTTTTGCTCAGTGATGTGCGAACTTGGCGCTATATATTTCAAATTTCAGTGTTTTTGGTTTGATTATATTATTGAATTAAATTTATTATTATTATATTATTATTATTTATTATTTATTATAATTTATGATTTCGTGTTTCAAGTTTTATCATACCCGGGATGTTTACTAGACTCTTGTTCGGACAGATTTCAGTGAGTTATTCCTAAGAATTACAGGCCTACAATTAAAAAAAATACATATTTCCATGCAAAAAAATGTACCCCTTTGAGCACAGAAATACTGACATAATCAGACCGCTAGGGAGGTTAACTAGTGGATGTGAATATTTTTTTTTTTTTTTTAAAATATATTGTTTAGTGTCACAAAAAAAATCTGGCCTCCTCCTCCCCTCATAGCTGGCCAATCACACCCTTTTTGTAAGTTGTTAAATAAGTGACACTAAACTCTGAAAAGTGAGAGGAAAAAAATGCTTTCAACTGTGGGCTGTGGGCTTTGCAGTGTGCATAGAGCAGTGCACATGACTGCAACTAACATGCACTGCTCATTCCATATAATTAAAAGTGAGAAGGAACAGGAGAGGTGTGGGAGCTCATGGAGGACGTTACAAGGAAGCAGGAAAACACAGAAAGAAATTATTTCTTTAAAAAATATATTACAGGGCCATTAACCAATGAATGTAAATGGATTTTTTTTCTGAAAAATAAGGATATTGATTAGTGTCACAAAAAAAAACCAAATCCGGCCTCCTCCACCCCTTATAGCCGGCCAATCCTCTCCTTTTTTGTAAGATGTTAAAGATGTGACACTAAACTCTGGTTTACAATAATATATCCAATTTACATATGGGTTTGATGGCTATGGGCTTTGCAGTGTGCATAGAGTAGTGCACATGACTGCAACTAACATGCACTGCTTGTTCCAAACAAACAGAAGTGAGAGGGAACGGAGAGGTGTGGGAGCTCATGGAGGGTGTTACCATGAAGCAGAAAAATACAATAAGAAATGATTTAATGAAAATAGATGACAGGGCCATTAATTAGTGGAGGTGTATGGATTTTCTCTTATTAAAAAAAAAATCCGGCCTCTTATAGCCGGCCAATCACACTCCTTTATTGTAGGATGTTAGAGCTACACTATGTATTTTTTTTTTTTTGATCCAACTACTGGCTTTTTTGCTTTGCAGTGTGCATAAAGCAGGACACATGACTACAACTGACATGCACTGCTCATTCCATATAATTAAAGTGAGAAGGAACAGGAGAGGTGTGGGAGCTCATGGAGGATGCTACAAGGAAGCAGGAAAACGCAGTAAGAAATGATTTCCTTAAAATATAAATTACAGGGCCATTAACTAGTGGATGTGAATGGATTTTTCTGAAAAATAAGGATGATGATTAGTGTCACATTAAAAAACAATCCGGCCTCCTCCACCCCTTATGCTGGTCAATCCTCTCCATTTTTGTAAGATGTTATAGAAGTGACACTAAACTCTGGTTTCCAATAATCTATCCAATTCACCTCTGGGCTATGAGCTGTACATAGAGCTGTGTATATGGCCACAACTAACATTCTCTGCTCTTTTCAAAGAAACAGAATTGAGAGGGAAAAGGAGATGTTTGGAATTTACCAGAGGATGTCACAAGATGGCAGAAACACAGAATAATAGAGACAATTTCATGAATAATAGTTTACAATGACAATAACTATAATATGTATCTTATCTATAAAATCTATATTATATTTTTGTATAATTTTTTTTGTAACTTTTTTTTCCTAACATGCGCTGTTTCATTCCAAGTATTTAAAAGTGAGGAGGAACAAGAGAGGTGTGGGAGCTCATGGAGGATGTTACAAGGAAGCAGGAAAACACAGAAGAGAAAATGATTTCTTTAAAAAGTAAATCAAAGGGCCATTAGCTAGTGGATGTGAATGGATTTTTCAGAAAAATAAGGATGTTTAGTGTCACCAAAAAAAAAAAAAAAAAAAAAAAAACCCGGCCTCCTCCACCCCTATAGCCGGCCAATCCTCTCCTTTTTTGTAAGATGTTAAGGAGGTGACACTAAACTCTGGTTTAAAATAATATATCCAATTCACGTGCGCTCTGGTCTGTGCGCTATGGGCTCTGGGCTGTGTGCTCTGGGCTGCTGGGCTCTGGGCTGTGCTATGCTATGGGCTGGGCTGGGCTGTGCGCTCTGGGCTGCGCTATGGGCTATGCTCTGGGCTGTGGGCTGTGCGCTATGGGCTCTGGGGCTGCTGGGCTGGGCTGTGCGCTATGGGCTGGGCTGTGCGCTATGGGCTCTGCTGTGCGCTATGCTATGGGCTCTGGGCTGTGCGCTATGGGCTCTGGGCTGTGCTGGGCTCTGGGCTGTGGCTGTGGGCTCTGGGCTGTGCGCTATGGGCTCTGGGCTGTGCGCTGTGCGCTATGGGCTCTGGGCTGTGCTGGGCTCTGGGCTGTGCGCTATGGGCTCTGGCTGTGCGCTATGGGCTGTGCGCTATGGGCTGGGTGCGCTATGGGCGCTGGGCTGTGCGCTATGGGCTCTGGGCTGTGCGCTATGGGCTCTGGGCTGTGGCTCTGGGCTGTGCGCTATGGGCTCTGGGCTGCACATAGAGCTGTGTATATGGCCACAACTAACATTCTCTGCTCTTTCCAAAGAAACAGAAGTGAAGAGGAAAAGGAGATGTTTGGCATTTTACCAGAGGATGTTACAAGATGGCAGACTATCTTAACAAGCATACTATCTTATCACTATCTTATCTATGTTTACAAACTTTTTTTTTTTTTTTTTTTGGTAACAAGAGAAACAATTATAATTTCTAAATGCACACTTTTTTTTTTTTTTTTTTTTTTTTTTTTTTTTTTTTTTTTTTTTTTTTTTTTTTTTTTTAAAGCCCAACTCTGGGCAAAACATAATAAGCAATCCATCAAGGACCCCCCTGGATGTAAATAGAGGGGGAACCCTTGGGACTGCAGTGACCGTGGCTTTGTATAAATAAAAATACATTTTAGATGGATTTTTTTTTTTAGCCAGCGATCAATTCGGGGCAGGTGACAGGAATGGGCTTTAAATATAATAAAAGCCATACTCACCTAATGTCACTTACCTCATTGGGCCCTGGGTCTTTTGGCTCCTTGAGGCTTGGTCTCCGCTGCCTTTCTTTTGGGCTCTTTGGACATCAGGGCAATCAGGAGACCTTCAGATACCAGCTGTTTGTATATAGCCCCTTTGCTTGCTCGGGAAGAGCGTGAATGGGTGCTGGTTGAAGGCTCCTGGGATGCAGCGCTGATGGTGATGTCCCTCTTCT